GTTTCGAACTCCTGAGCTCAAACAATCCGCCCGCCTCGGCCTCCCAGAATGCTAGGATTACAGGCGTGAGCCACCGCGCCCGGCCTCGATAATATAATTTTTAAAATAATGTGGATCCTTGTATAAACCATATAAAACACAGGAAATAGGATGCCAAAGGGTTAAGAAGCTCTTCAGTGTGTTAATTAATTTTAAAGCTTTCCATTTTCCTAATCACTACTTAATATGATTTAGTCACAGACATTGGCTTTGGTGACTGACAGAAAACCCCACTAAGTGATTTCACAGCCTTACCTCTAGGTTCTGTGCTCTTTCTTTGCTAAGAGGAGAATATAGAAAATTCATGTTGTTGTCATCTGCTAAGGAGCGGAGGTCAAAGTAGTATTTGGCATAAACACTGGCAGGAACATTAATATTAAACTGAAGTAGCTCCAAAAAATGCCTTTCCATTTCATTCCTGGGGAAGGAGGAACAAAACAAAACCAACACAGGACAATTTTAGTCAACTGGGCTATCTTCAAAAATATCATTCTGAGCTTCTAGGATGGCTCTAAATTCTGTTTTAAAACAAAGGCTACCCAGTTGGATTAGTACACTAATGTTCAAACAAGGTACAGCTATTTGTGGTCCCTTCTGCATCCCAGCACTTTGTGTTTGGGATGAGGGGAAAAGGTTATGGCCCTCTTATGCACTCGTGCTGCTGACTCGGGGCTCATTCTTCGGAGTTCCATTAGTGCAGCTGTGCGATTCATACTCCACGCTCGCTCACAAGGCCCCACTATAGTGATCAGATGAAAGGAATGATGTATGCTGTTTATTAGCTCTGAAGAACTTGCAGACATTTTCACCGGCCTGATAACAGGAAGGGGCTTATTGAAGTAGAGAAGCACCAACAAAAGGAATGGGCACATCACCACGGCAACAAATGGATCCATCGAGAGCCACCGCTATTATCTCTGAGGGGGGAAAACTCTTGAGGCAACAAGGATTCATCTCAAATAAATAAATAAGCTACATTCGATGTGAAAAGGGAATCCCTTCCCCCTGCCCCAGTACATGAGGTTATGTCAAAGGGCATAATGCAAGTTTCTGCTCACCTTAATATTACCAAGGTGAGAAACTGTCATTATACCAGGGCAGAGATACTCTTTAAACTTTGGAAGGCAGAAAGATCAAAGATAGATGTCTTGGCTAGACTAAGCCCACTTTGCGATATGACCTTTGTCAGGGCACTGGACTTATAAACTGAGTGTTTCATCAGAGTTGGGAATGGACCCCAGAGATGCTCAGCATCCACTGCCCCTGGCCAGAACTGAATGGGGGGGGAGCAGTCCTCTGCTACAGGAACACACACTGCCCTCACCAAATGGTTAGGTAAATAGAAGTTAAAATTAAGTCTTGTCTTACCACTTCCACAATAATCCCTATAAAGAGTTAATTGGATAAAAATGATAAATACTTGAATAACATTTTGTTTCTTAAAGTTTTAATATTTTATCCACTGGCTAAGTCAACAAATGCTTGATATTCTCCTGTATGGAAAGCAGTTAGAATATGAGCAGAGATGTGGTTTTCTCATTTGTTGAACTTAATACCCAACTGAACCTACTTCCAAAATTAATTTCCTGTTCATATGGCCATAAGTCTATAGAAATGTAAATCAGATAATGTTTTGATAATCGGCTAATCAGGACTTAATTCGCTACAGGAATAAATGCACTTCACGATCCCTTTTATATTTTTTCCCCTAATACATTTTAACTGCAGAAATACAGTACTTCATAGGATTAACATGTCTCTTAATAGAGGTTTAATCACTGAAGAAAAGCATTATGCCTACAGAATATGCATCTTCTGGGTTTTTTGTTGTTTAAATGGCTAGATGGCTGAATAGCATACTCTACACAGACACAGCAAATTTTCTGAATAGCAGCTGCTCAGTTCAACTTATTCTTTTGAAGGGAAATATATTCTAACAAGACATCTAGATGTTGGAAAGTTAAGAAAAATCTGATAGACATCGATTTTTAAATTTTTCAATTTAAACTCAAAATGAGACTACTGCAAATAGTCAACAGCAGGGAGATGAGACGAATGTATATTAAACACTCCGTTTTAATGTTTTCCAATTTCCAAAGATCGTAAACAAAAGCAGCCCATTGGAGCGTGGCTCCCGGTGCTTCTACGTTCACACACAAACAGCACTGTTTAGAACTGGCCTTCTCGGAACTGGCCCTGCCATCACTGCTCCTGGAGCTCACATCTGTGGGAACCTGCGTGTTTCCCTGCATGTTCTCTGACCTTGTAACTGCAAGCAGAGCCCTCAGCAAGCTTAGCTGCAGGTTTTGAGAAAGTTTCAGCTGTCATAATGACAGGGCTAAGTGTTCATGATTACAAATTTTGCTTCCTTTGAGGACCAGTCTGCAGACTGAAGTCAGTAGCAACCAAAGTCACTTCAGCATCTGCAACTTCCCAAAGCACTTCCATTTGTTTCAAATACATCTGCCGTTACACCCTTTGCTAACATGGGTGCCAGCAATAGCACCACAGCCATTCAGTTTACTCTATTAGTAAAGTGGTCATTCTCCCCAAAAGCCACTTCAACAGCTACTAATAATCACTGATCCCTTGTTAGTCACAAGTATCCTCACTTCAGTTGTAAATACACAGCTTGGTCATTCTGAATGATAGTCTTATCTGGTGCAATGGGCAGAGGTAACAAAAACAAACTCTTGCCACTGCCTGTCAGGATCTCGGTCTTCCTGTGCTGCTCAACATAATCAAGAGGTGCTCCTTCCTACTTTCCTAAATGCCACCCACAAAGACATTTTCACTTTCAAGCAGGCACCTGGGGAGTCTTTCCCTGGCTCGTCCTTCCCTTCACAGCCGTCAGGGAGGCTGGACCAGAAGAAAGTCCTTGTGAAGCTGGTGTTTCGCTGTCATGTTAGTGCCATCTGTGCGGAGCCCCGTGACTCAGCAGGTGCACTCTCAGTAACTCAAGGCCCCCAAGTGCTGCTGTGATTGTCTGAGTGCCCAGGAGCTGGGAGCAGAGCCTGGCGAACACTAGCTACTGCCTCAGCAATGCGGCTCAGATGGCCTGGGGGGATCCCGGAGCTTCCCTACTCATCAGGCTACTTCTAAACACAGGCAAGCTCCTAATGGGGAGGGGGCAGGAACATGGGGATATGTGGGTATTTACTTTTTATCTCATGGTTTCTGTGCAAACAGATCTTCAGATAAAAGGAAAAGACAGACCAGCAAAAGCAAACATGTGATGTGTGACTCAAGCTGAAGCTATAACTTCTCACTAGTCCAGAGGCCCTAAGACCTCAATAGTGGGCAAACAATTGTTTCAAAGGCCAGAGGTATGCCCCTTAAAAAGGGACAGCTTGTAAAAAGTCATAAAGGTATGTACTGTACTATGTTGTTCTGGCGTAAGCTTGCAAGATGTTAGCCAAAAACCATCAGAAAAATACTTTTCAACTTATCAAGCACATTATTACAACAATAGCACATCAAAACCTACCAATGAATGGTGGAAACAGGAACTGCTGTACTAAGGCTGGACAGAAAGAAGCATGTAGCTTTATGCCTATTTCCATTATCTGCACGATGTAACATTTACAAATACTTCTTAAAGTGTTAACTTTATGGGAGCAAATGAGGTACTAGAAAATGGTTAGAAAGTTCACCAAAACCTTACAAACTCACATGTCCTCAACTGTAATGTCCTTGAGGATCTGGCAGTAGTCCACATTCCATACAGCCTGATCGTCCCAAACCTTGGAGGCAAGAAGAATCGCTCCCAAAACAATTCTTTTCCAGTTAGTGGGACAAATGTCGATCTCAGCATAAGTTAAAAGCCTTTCTAAGTAAACCTGCAAAAGTAGAGCACTGGTCTTTGATTTTAGTTCAGTTTAAGTGCTGTGATAAGAACTGTTATGAATGACAGATTTGTTCTGTTTTTGACCAGAAAGTAAGTGTCTTTTATACTTATGTTGTGCAGAGACTTTGCTCAGTCAACCAAAGCAAGAGGCCAGATCACAGTTGTACATTATTACCTCTGCTGCCTACTCTGCCCATGCAAATTTCCAGCCCAATTTTGGTCACAGGAATGACTGGACATCTCAGCAAAGGGCACGATGAAGAGAGGCACTGTTATCACCTCCCCAATCATAACAGGCAGCACACATAGGCCCTGTGTAGATTAAAGTTGTTCAATAAATACCTGAGTGCCAGCCAGGTGCAATGGATCATACCTAGCTGGTAGTCAGATAGTTAATTTTATAGATATGTCATGCTTGAATATGTAAAATCCAAGTAATACTGAGCACATTTTTATCATCTTCTTTTCACAGTTACTAACCTTCTGTGGCACGAGCTGGGGAAGTGCTGGTCAAGAGAGCCTCCCAGTGGCTGCTGTGCAGACCAGCACGACAGACGCAGGCCTTCGGGGCTATGAAACATTCCCCGTATTTCGTGCCTTTGTAAGGCACACGTGTACAAAAGGATGGCCCTTCTCATAGCCCCTATATTTCACTTCATGAAAATTCATTTTCTGCTCTTCTATAACCTGAAACTTAGTCAATTATGTTGGTTTTAAGGCCATAAAAGCTGCCAGCTTCTGTATCCCTGGGACTTCTCTAAACCTGCCAAGCAGTTTGTGAGACAATCTCATGAATTATTTTACATATATCAAACATCTATCCTACAAAGAATTGGGCAAAGTTAACAGCTGAGTAAAGATTATAGAGGTAAGCTATGATGTGTCATTACCCCAAAGGGTGCTCTGCAGAAGGGTATGCATATATGCTACTTAAACTCTTTGTATTAAGACAAATGGAAAAAAATTTCCTTTTTTCAGTTTAGTTGGCTGAAGGTTACCAGACTGACAGCTCACATCTCGCACTGTTCTCCACACTCAACTGTGTTTTCAAAAACAATTGGCTACTGAACATCACATGTTCTTAGTGAGATTCTGCTCCTGTTCCCCCAAACTCTGCACTCTCAAGTATTCTAAGGATCAACGTCCCTCGTAGGGTTCCACTCTCCATAGGAGTAATCAGAGAGCACAGAAATCACACTGGCAATCCAACTTCCTGTCACCTTTGCTGGTGAGTTTGTCCCATGCTGACACTCATTGATACCACTTGCCCTCCAGTGTCGGTGCAAGAGTTCTTTTTTTCCTCACTAAAGCCAACTCTTCTATCAGTGCAGTTGATCCCATCCCACTTCTGCAGAACACTGTTCCCACAATTGCCTTTTTCTGAAGACTTTTTCCCTCTCTGTGAGAGATTGTCCCCAAGATGAATGTGTTTCCTCTGTTCCCATGCCACCCCTCACAACTCCCAAGATGCTTCCTCTCATTTGCTCACAACATCATGCCCTGGTGCCAGTTTCTCATCTCCCATCTCTCCTTAACCCACCCCACCTGCCCACTGCTGCTGTCACTCTCCTGGGTCTCCTCTCGCCAAGGCCCCCACCCCCTGTGCCTTCACACTTGCAAACCAGAGCTCTTCATCCCAACATGCCACTCCCCAAGTCTACCCTAACAATGGAAAGGGCATTGCCATTTACCTAGATGCTGGGGCCAAATACCTACATGACTTACCCTGCTCCAACTTGTGAGTAATTCTTTCACTAGGAGTCTACCCGCTTTTGATTCTGAGCCACCATTTGTCACTGCTCAGTTTTATCACTGCAGCTGCTTCCTAACCCTCTTCTCTGCTTCCACTCTGACTCCGAAATATAGTCTGCTCTCCCCAAGGCAGTCAGTGTAACTTCTTAAATTAAGAGCACTTAGGCTGGGTGCGGTGGCTCAGGCCTGTAATCCTAGCACTCTGGGAGGCCGAGGCGGGCGGATCGTTTGAGCTCAGGAGTTCGAGACCAGCCTGAGCAAGAGCGAGACCCTGTCTCTACCAAAAATAGAAAGAAATTAATCAGACAGCTAAAAATATATAGAAAAAATTAGCTGGGCATGGTGGCGCGTGCCTGTAGTCCCAGCTACTTGGGAGGCTGAGGCAGGAGGATCACTTGAGCCCAGGAGTTTGAGGTTGCTGTGAGCTATGATGACGCCACGGCACTCTAGCCCGGGCAACACAGTGAGACTCTGTCTCAAAAAAAAAAAAAAAACCAAAAAAAAAAAAGCACTTCACTCCCCTGCTCAAGAGCTACCAAAAGTTACCCATCAAACTATAATAAAAACTTAGCTTCCGCCGGTGGCCTGCAAGCCACAAGGCTCTGTGAGCTATGCAGTCATTCCTCAGTCTGACCACACTGGCTGTCTTGCTGTTTGTTACTTGCACACACATAAAACACGTTCCTGTCTCAGGGTATTGGCACTCGTCCCACTGCCTGTAATGCCAGAGGCTCCTTACCTTTCTCCCTTTGGTCTCTGGGACCAAATGTTGCCTCTCTAGAGAGGCTCTTCCTGATTATTCTACCTACAATAGTAAGCACCCCTCCAATCACTGTATCCCTTTACCCTGCTTTATTTGCCTGGTATTTCCCACCACCTCAAATATTGGTGAACCTGAAAAAAATACTTAATGTCTTCCTCACTAGAACATAAGCTCATAAAGGCAAGGACTTTGTTCAACCTGTCCTCTCCTTCACACACCCACTTAGCAACTTCTTGGCGGCCTGAGCATTGTGACCACAGCCTCTTGTATCTTGCCTTGGTTTTCCTCCTCCTCCCACCCTAGCCACTCCTCCGGGAACTTGTCCCTTAATGCCAATAGTCCTTACAGATCCATCTTCTGTTCACTTCCATTCCACACACTTTCTCTGCACGTGAACAGCTACTCTTACTCTTCATTCCTTACTTCTAGCCCAGATTCATGCTCCAGTCCCATATACCCAAAAGACCAGACAGTGCCACTCTGCTGTCTCACTGGCAGATCAAGCTTCACCTGTCTACAATGACCTTCCCCTCTTCTAATCCAGCTCTCTCTCCTATATCACCTCTCTCTCCACATATGGAAGTACCACTCTTGCTCCTCTCCAGCATGTGCTAAGCATTCCCAATGGTTTACAGCTCCATGAAAAGGCCTGTGTCTGATCCAGTGCCCACTGGGGGTTTCTATTTAAGTGCACAGCAGAAGTCTCCTCTCCTTAACTCTAACAGATGCTAAAGGAGTAGGTACTGACCTAAGTATTCTCTCCCTCCAGGCCACGCAAATGACTTTACTCTAGGTTAGCTGTGGGGAGGAGTAAAACAATCCCATCAACTTGAATAGGATTATTATTCAAAATGATGAAGTCTTACCACAGGAATTCTGCATGGATGACGCAAAGGTCAGGACACAGCTATAGCTTAGCAGGCTAACTAGCAAAGCCTTTGTCCAAGTCTTACTGGTACCATATTCCTAGGAAACTTCCTGAACAAGCACAAGAGATCAGCAGGCATGGATTAACACCCATCATCCAAGGAACAAAGAATTTAGGGCAGTAGTTCTCAATCACAACACACATCAGAATAACCTGGGGAATACAGCCTGGGACTCAGCTTAGAATTACACTGCACTCAGTCTCTGCCTGTGGACCAGACAGTTTTGTTACTGCTCCCTATCTCATGCCCCTAGTGGGGTGTGTGTGTGGCAATGAGGTGAGGGGGGAAAATCCAGAAATCTCTCCTGCTGCCTTTTATAGCAATTGTTTTGTGATGAGAAAAGCAATGGTAACATTGTAAGCCATGATGATTATTAAATTCAAATGTATGTATTTACTTTCCTTACATTTCTCTTAAAGTTCTGATGATAATTTCATTCATTTTATTTCTAAATATGCTTTATAAATAAGATTTATCTTACCAAAGTTACTATTGCACATTCAGCTGTTAGCTGTGCGGCACTGAAAAGGGTACGGACAAATCTGTAAATAAATTTGTGTTCAGGATCATGCTTAAAGTACTCTTCTGGAACCTTTTCTCGCTGAAAGAAGAAAAGACGCACTGTAAGTATCCACTGACGAAAAATTTTTAAATACTCTTAAGACAGCAGTTTTCACATTTGTGCCCACGTGTCCCTTAAAATAGTTTTATTTGGGTGACACATCTTTTAGTCTTTTAAAGATAAACACTAGGATCTTAAAGTACTATAATGATTCAATACTCGTCACCATTCACTAGAAATTGGCATTGGGTACACCCAAATGCTCAGAGAATCTTTATTTTCCTTTTCACTTACCCCTAATTGAATCTATTAAAATGTAAACTATTTTTATGCTCAAAAGTCTTCTTAATCATGTCATGCTTCTCTGCAATAAACTCTGAAAAAACAAGGTTTAGTTTTCTGTAACCATGAGGCTCTAAGCCTGCACTGTCCAGTACAATTGTCACTAGACACATGTGGCTACTAGTAAACACTCAAAAGTAGCTGCTATGTGCCTGAGGAAGTGAATTTTTACATTTTTTGCCATTTTAATTGATAAATTGTTTTCTAATTTCTTCACAGAGATCATGCATATGTCAGAACTATTGATAAATATTTACACAGGGTATCCCAAATGTCTCCATATAAAGGAAAAATTTTGTAATGAATATTTTGTAAATGAAGGTACATTTAGCTACAATTTCCCATTTTCCCTATGTATGGTGACTTTTGGGACACCCTGTATTAGTCAATGCTATTGAAAATTATGTTTTAAAAAGATACATTTTCTGTTATTTCTATAGTATATTTACTCACCTTAGCTCACTATCAGTTATGCAAATCAGTTCTTAGCATATCCTTATTATAATACCCCTTTTATAAGATGATTATATGTAATATGAGATGGCAAAGAAAACTTAAGGAAGATGATTTTGACATTAGCATGAAATAAACACAACTCTATGAGAGAAAAATACAAACTCAAAAAAAGCAACACTTACTGTGAGTGGATGTGACCTCTCATCAAAAATATCCAGTGATCTATTTGCATCTCTATAAAATAAGAACATACATTTAAAAAATTAATTCAGGAATTGTCAATTATCTTAGTAAAATATCTGCTGGGAAAAGGGAGCAGCAAGTGGAGGGAGATTCCTAACCTTCAAACAAGGCAAACAGCTTTACAAATTCTTCTCCTGGGTTCTGGGCTTCAGAGGGTTCCTGACCTCTTTTTACTCAGCATATCAAGTCCTGTACTCTGAAGTCTTCTGTAATGACCAGCCAGAATTGCCTTCCCTGATCTCACATTGGAATACCAAGAACATTTTACAAAGCAATAGTGTTGAGCAATAAAGTCTTTAGAACTTTAATGAATGTGAATATGAGATTCAGATTTCCCAGGTTTTTCCCTCACTTTTTAGTTCTCTATATTCTTATGTATTTCTTGTTTCTTTAAGCAGTTTGAGTTAAACACTTAGTTGCCTTTTTATTTTAAAAAAGACCAGTCTTTGATGAACTTTAAAGTGGAAAGTTCACATAAAGCAATTCTGCATACTGAAGTACGGTTGTGTTAAGGAAAAGCACTTGTAATTTAACTGTGAACCAAATAATCTACTTTTTTTCATGGAGCACCATCTTTATTTGAAAGTACAACTATCGTTCTCAAAAATGAACAAAGTGAGCCTGTTACTTCCAGGAAAATAACAAGTATTTGTTGCCAATGATAAAATTCAAGCTTTAAGTTAAAAAGCAAGACTTTGGAAAACTTATACCTTCTACTGTGAGCCTGACTGCTTCTCAATACTCAAAGACATTTTTTCTTTTAATAAGATCAGTGGTGACACTAGCAAACGCACTTGTGGAGTTCTGGTGTAGTGTTAAAGAATATCTACAATTATCTAAAAGCTTTAAAAATACACCTTTTTCCCAACTAGATATTTGCATAAGGCTAGGTTGTCATCTTACTGCTTCTTCAAAACAAATTGCAAAGACAGAGATGAAAATCCAGCTGTCTCCTATTAAGCCAGACATTAGGGATTTGCAAAAATTCAAATAAATGACACACTTTTTACTCAACATTTGTTGCAGAAAAGTTATTTTTTTGTGAAAAAAAATATTTATGTTAACAGCGTGGTTCTCAGTCAGGGGTGAGTTTGGCCTCCAGGAGATACCTTCTGTTGTCACAACCTGAGGTGCTGCTACTGGCCTCTGGTAGGTAGAGGCCATCGATGCTGCTAAACATCCTCCGATGCACAGGACAGCCCCCACAACAAAGAATTATCTTGCTCAAAACATCAAGAGTGCCAAGGTTGAGAAACCTAAACTAAAAATATTTATTTTTTTAATTCTCAGTTTTAATTTCTAATACAGTAAATACCAATATAATCAACATGAACAAATACTCTTTGGGATCCTCAATAATTTAAGGGTTAAAAGAGTCTTAAGAACCAAGAAACCCAAAAATGATTTGCTTCAATACTATAATAAGCACTCTACAACTTATGTCTATAGTTATGATCTAATACTAAACTTGATATCATGCAAAGTAACTAGCTAGAATAACAAGATAGGTTTTAAAAGAGCTCACCTGTTCTTTATGTGGTAATATATTGCTAAGGTCACACTGTGGAAGGAAAAAAAATATTTTTAACAACTGATTTTATCATTTTTTAGGTCTGAAGACATTTTTAAAAGGGGGTAGAGGGGTGGGAGCCTTCCCAGGGGCCCTGAAATCCTCCAGTTCCGAGCAGTACCACGTGGGCACTTTCTCCCTTGTTTTAATTCTTTGGCTTTTAGCAAAAATAGGATAACCAAAATGCTATGCAATATGCTGTTAGAAGACAGGTTTTTGTTGATTATTGTTATATTATTTGCTCTTTTCCCCATAGAACTTTTCATCCTGTGCAAGTTATATTTATTTGTGCACATGCTTAAATTTCAGTCATACAGTAATTTTGTTTTAAGTTTAGGCTCTGCATTTCATTTAGTTCACTATTCCCTATCCTCCTTCTTTTCATTATTTCCCTAAAAGTAAATAATGAAAGTGATTTATACCAGATAAAATCACTTTTGCATAATTAGAAAATTTATTAGTAAATATAAGTGCACACAAAATCAATGACAGGTGTAGCTATTTTGAAATAAGCAGGGCTAACAAAGCAGCATAATACTACACAGTAAAATATTAATAGCAGCTATTTTCCAATTAGTTTAAATGAAAGATTAATGAACAGATACACCTCACGGTGTTAATGTAATCCTAAATTATCCCCAGATGTTGTATATTAGGAAACAAGGGGTTCTCTTAGATAAGTTATATGCTTCCATTTGCCCTCAGTGTCTAAAATGAGGCTCAAAATAATTGAGGGAAGGCAAATCTGAATTTTAAAAGTAGGCCTATATATTAGCACTTTTTTAAATGCCTGTAACATTATTAGCATCAAAGATGGATACTTCTATAGTGCTTCAAATAGTTTTGTCTCCAAATTGATTTTAAAATCAAAGAATTTGAAGTTATAAGCTGGAAAGGACCACCAAACCTTATATGATATTTAACTCAACAATTCATTTTACAGGTAAGGGAACCAAGGCTTAAAACTGACCTGCCCAAGGTCCCACCAATAGAAGCAGTTTGTTCTCCTGCACTCAAATTAAGCAGTTCCCAAACTTTGCTGGACATTGGAATCACCTGAGGAATTTTAAAAACTGCCAGACTTCCAATTTGAGTCATTCCAGTTTAATTGGCATTGGTACGACTTGGGCATTTGGACTGTTTTTTTAAAGTTACCAGGTGATTCCAATGTACAGCAAAGTTTGAGAATGACTGAGTTAGGGTTAAGATCAGAATCACCTGGGATGCTTTTGTCCACATGATTATGTCTCACATCCTTCTCCATTTTCCTAAAAGGCTGTGGAATGCCTAGAGATGAAGGGAAGGTGGAGGTGGGGAGATGCATGTGTTTGCAGACATATTTTGTAAAAAGCTGCATAAGTGATTCTAATATGGCTCACTCATCTCACTGAGAACATGCACTACTACCCCATGATAAATATTTTTCAAAATCTTTCCTAAAAGCCAATTTGCCCTTATTAATTTGCTCAATAAACCTTTATTTCACCAATAGTGAATATACCATATGATCATTTCTAAAACTTAATGAGAGCAAATTAAAACTTACTGTTCTAGACTTCTAAAAATCAGACTAAGGTGAGTGGGGGGATGGGGAAGCATGAAGTCTACTTTTTTAAAGCAAGATTAATCTTTAAAACTACTTTGTGGCCAGGCGTGGTGGCTCACGCCTGTAATCCTAGCACTCTGGGAGGCCAAGGCAGGAGGATCATTTGAGCTCAGGAGTGCGAGACCAGCCTGAGCAAGAGTGAGACCCTGTCCCTACTAAAAATAGAAAGAAATTGGCTGGACAACTAAAAATATATAGAAAAAATTAGCTGGGCATGGTGACACATGCCTGTAGTCCCAGCTACTCAGGAGGCTGAGGCAGAAGGATCGCTTGAGCCCAGGAGTTTGAGGTTGCTGTGAGCTGGGTTGACTCCACAGCACTCTAGCCTGGGCAACAGAGTGAGACCTGTCTCAAAAAAAAAAAAAAACCAAAAAAAACTACTTTGTGTTATATGTGGAAACATCAGAATCTTTCAAATTCAAAAGAAGACAGGTACTCTAGCCAAAGTAGAGTTGTTTTTTAATTCATGGATTTAGGGCCTGGGCTGAATACAAACATTTAGTGATTACTTGATAGGTGCCAAAGACCATGACTTTAGACAGAATTGGGGTCCAGTTTTTCCTGAAACAATTTGATCTCAACTATTGTTATAAGGGAGATAGGAAAGTAACATCATTATATGTAAACTTGCAGTTTTTAATTAAAAGTAAAAGTTACTGACAATTTAATTAACTAAAAAGCCAATACATATTAGAAACAGTACTGAAGTTTATAAGCAAGTTATGTTTTTAGACTGAAAAAATTAGGGATAAGGACATTAATATACTAAAGTAGCATTTCCCAAACTGTGTTCTGAATACCAACACTCATAATCCAAAGAGATGTTAATAATGTTCCCTGGATAACCTAATGGAGCTGGTTTTTTGTTGTTGTTGCTTTTTAAATAAACTTAAAAGGTTCATCTTAGGGTGTTTTCAAAGTGCACCTCCTCTACTGTGGACTATGAGTTGCTAATGTGCAACGAGGAATATTTAAATGCAGATACACTATGGTGCCAGTAGAGGACAAGCTGATCCTTCTTCCAAGAGTAGTTTCCAAAGTAGTACACATTGTTTTAGGCCTGTAACTCAAAGAACTAATTCTTTCCAGAAGCATCCAACAAAAAGCACCTCTCCTTTTCATTATGTTCCCCATTGTCTTAACATAAATGCATCAAATAAAGAGCTATACTTTTTCTGGGATTGCTTGTTTGCTAACTGGCTTTCCCTTCCACCATGCAGTCTAAGATTAAAGTAGAAATTGAAAATTCATATTTAGGTCCTTGAAATCAATATACAGTTGACACCAATTTCTTAAATCGATCACTGAAAAGGACAGTCAAATGGCTGAAATGACTGAGGATGGCTGGGATGCCTTTAGCATAAGGGAGTCTGTCACTCAGCTCTTGGCAGCCTAGTTGTACTCACCATTTTACTGTGGTTCTAAGATTAGGCTGGCTGACTGTGCTGTCATCTAGAAATATTGTTGAGCATGAGCTATACTTTTTAGTAAGCTGCCCTGGAGATACCTGAAGGGGAAGGGAAATAGAAGAAAATGTCTCAGTAAGTTAAACCTATAAAGGTGTGGTTTTTTTCCCTTGGTTAAAATGTCAAACGATAAAGCATTAAGGTATTTCTTACACTTCATGAACTGCCTGAGTGTGGTATCATGTGTGGCTCTATGGGAAACCCACTGAAGGCTCTTAACTTCCACAGATGATGTCCGAGGAATGGGTTATAAAATACGGCCCTTGATATGATATCTATAATCAAATCTGGCAAGTATTTATTATGAATTCCCTTTATGAATAATTTTAAAAGTTTAAAATAAGAGTTCAGTGGGTTTTTTCCTTAGCAATAAAAAGTAGTTGAGATTTTCTATTCCTTTACTATAATAAAATGCAATGCCTTAAATAAATAATATTGGCATTAGAGTATTTTATTGCAGTATATGAAAGCCTAGTATTGAATTTATTAATTTACTAACACTAAATATATTAGTTCAGGAGACAGTATGATGAAACAAGTGTTTTAAAGACAGAGGTTCTGTGTGCCAGGGCTACTCGATCACCAAGTGAGGGGGCTGTAGGTCTCTCTGCGCCTGTTTCTTTATGTGGAAGGTAAAAGGAGTACTGCTTTAGGACTCTCTCACAGCCAAAGAACAGATGACAAAAACAACTTTGGGAATTTAACTTTCACTTCATGTTTAAATAAGACTGCCATTATATTACTCAAATGAGAACCTCAGAGAATATTTTCCATTCATTTCAAAATGTCATTAATTTTATTCTATAAATTATTTGACAAACATCATGGCACTTTCCTGCCTCACTCTTGCCGCTCTCTGCCTGGAATGCCTTTTTCTTCCTCTTTGTCCCAGCAAGCTTGAGCCCATCTACTACCTTGCGGGATACCTTTACCAGCAGCCACACCACAAAACTCCTCCCTTTTTGTACACTCCTCCATCGCCCCATCTAATTCCCCACTTAGTACATGATAACAATTAGCTTGCAGGGTGTCCCCCTCATAAAAAAGTAAGCTTCTCCAAGGAAGGTGGGACTCTTACACCTCCTACCTCCTGCTGCTCAGCACAAAATTTGGGACAAATTAGGGAGTTAACAAGTGTTTGACAAATTATTATTTAAAATCAGTTACAATTTGGAAGGTAAATCTTACTACAGACACAAATTAGTGAGAATTTATCTGCAGTGGTATCGGAGAGGCGACAATGAACTTTTTGAGCCCTCTAAAAGTAAACTATCTTTAAAACACTTTAGAAGTATCCATTTATTTGCAGAGTGCAACAAATACTGTAACAGCCTATGCTATGTTGAGATAGTTCTCTTCCTTAAAAATAAGGCCAATAACCAAATCCCAGTCACTGAATAGTTGAAAGTAACAGCAACATTCTTTAAAACCACACAAGACCAACAATTTTAATGCTTTAAGAAAAAAAAACTAATTCAGATGAGCCTTCCTTCCTCCTATTAATATGATAGTTTTCAACATGTCACATTCTCCCATTAGTATCCCCCACAAATACATGAAAGACAGGGGAGGGAGAAGATCTAATTGTTGCTTTTAAAAGTACACAGCATTTAAAACTTGCCAGTAGCCAATAATCAGAAATAACCACACCATCTAACACCATTTTGTTTCAGATGTTTCTACTGCAAAATCACTTATTCCTTATTAACAAAAAGTCCCAGATATTGTATTTTTGAAAAGTGTTACTATTTGGAGGACCAAATTCTCCTTCAAGAAATGTTTTAACTTTATCTAAACTCTTAGGTGTTTCTTAAGCTATTCAGTTAAAGTGTATACTTCACATCAACTCTGTGTTAATGTCTATTCTTTTATCATCTCAAAAATACAGCATGAAAAGTGAAAATTGACTCATTCAAATACTTTCATTCAAAGTAGAAGAAGGTATCTTTTAAGGTCATTACTGTTAGCGGGTAATACGCATATACTATACCACAACAACAATGAAAAAAACCTCACAGGAGAATAAAAAGAACAGAGAGGAAATGCACCAAAATACAGACTAGGTGGTAGAGCTTTAGGTGATATCTTCTCCCATTTTCCTCTATTTAAAATTTTCTGTCATGAATGTATATTGGTTTGTCTTTAAAAATATTAGAACTAAAACATTTAAAAATGTGAATTAGATGTGGTCTTACAGCCGGGAGGGCTTATTCAATCAATCAGCAACTTATGGTCTACTGGCTAGATCCAGCCAAAGAAACACGTAACACTTGCCCATCAGTCCAGGCTTGCTCTAAACTCCTGCTTAAAGACAGAAGAATTATTCACTCCAGGAAAATGGCCATTTCTGCTTTCTTTCTTTTCTCCCCCCCCCAACCACCAGGCCATTTCCAAATTTCAAGATGACCAGAAAAAGGTAAACACAAAGATTGTCTGCTAACCAGCTATACAGCAGGAGACACACCACTCACTTCCATCTATTGAAACTTTTCAGTATCAAGAACATCACCATGTCTCTTAAGACAAAATTAAGCCTCTGAGCAAAACAATTGTTGCTGCAAAAGGTAACTACCACCTCATCCTGCTAGAAAACTTAAAACAACTATTATGGCTAAAGCCTTATCATTGCCAGCTTCACAACCTCAGCAAACTATGCTGACAAACATTAAGAACATGAAATGCAAATACTAAAAGACAAATCGAACAGCAAAAACACTACTGATCGTTTAGTGTCATAGATATTATTTCATGTAGTCACAAAATAGAGACAAAGAACATCATTTATCTTCACTCAGCACAAATGACAGAATATGGAATCTTAAAGTCTTTAACGGGACGGGGAAGGGGGTACTTAGTAGACAAAGTCGAATAGCAAAGACTAGGAAGTAATCACACGTAGTAGTTTAGTAAGTCACAACCCAAAGCTTACCATCAAAGGTCAAGTACCTGCTGAAATCCTGTCCCCACCCACTTACTTCTCCCATTTTGTCTATTATCTCTTATTTTAACCCATTAAAAAAGTAAAACTGAAGTTCACTTTTTTCTCTGCCTTTATTTATAAGTTTTAGATTTTTTTTTAAAAAAATTAATGACTCAGCTAACTTAAAAATATCTACAATATGACAGGGTATAGAGTTGGAATAGAATTCTTAAACGAGGGTTTAGCAGAAAAGTGTAATATGCTTACTATAGGTGTAACTAAAAAATTGTCTGGATTAATATTATTCATTATACTGAATTTAAACTTAGATTTACACTTTTAAATAGAGGTTCTAAATTTGGGTTAAACATGGTGGACTGACCACAAACTTATTTCCTCTCCTGCCTGAAATCTCATTAGAATTAAAGACATAAAAAAATAAAGGTTATACACAAGACCAGGGGACAGGATTGACATATGATTTTTAATAAATATTAAAAGATGAAAAGTAGACAAAGGACTGGTAACTAGCATGGAAGCACAGCTTAGGTGCCCAGAGAGAATGACTCAAACAGGACTAGGCAACCAATCTGTCTCACAGAACCCAAGGCAGGCTGAGAACCCACAAGGCACACAACACCTCAGAAGGAAGGGTAAAACAAAACAAAAGGCAACAAAATCAGTTGAAAATCTGTGGCTAGAGCCCCAAATCCACCTGTCCTCCCATCTTATAAGGAATTCAGATATATATTCCCTGGAGCTATTAAAACTGAGGGTTTCTGGGCTCAGAGATACCAGGGCTGAAACCTAGGAAATGGGAAAAAACTGTACACTGAAAAGTGGAACTCCATTTCTCCTTCCCAACTCTGCTTCTGGAAAGCAAGTAGCCATGCTTGTACCCCCCAGGCAGAAAATTGGGGAATCCTTCTCTGAAGAAACGGAGCTGTCCCAGAGAAAAGACCCTCAGCTAATACACTGAGGTCTCCCAGATGAAAAGCCGGCTTGGCCTCCAAATCCTTACAGGGAAAGCCATCAGTTAACAAAAGTCCTGCTCACGCATGGTGCTTCCAATTAGAGAAAGCCAGAGACCACCACACACTTGAGGAAAGCCTCCAACAAGAGAGATCAAAACAATTGGAAAAAGGAATTCACAGGAGTGGTAAAAATTCAGGAGCAAATGAAAACTTAAAAAAAAAATTCTTAAAACACTCTCAAAAAGAAAAATTTCAATAGAAGGGTTAGAGCATAAAGTCAAAGAATCTCCAGGAAGTAGAACAAAAAGACAAACTGGAAAATAGGAAGGGGAAAAATTAAAGATCAATGCAAAATTACTGGTCTAAGAGGCCCAACATCTGAATATCAGAAAAAGAAGGAACAGAGAAAACATAAATAAGCAAGAAAACTCTCTAGAGGAGATGGTCTGCAGATTTCAGGGGCCCCAATAAAATGAAAAGGTCCACACCAAGCCATATTATTAAATTTCAGAATCCCAGAGATAGAAAAGGTATTAAAAAGCTTCTAGAGAAGAGATGGGGGAAAAATGACTAAAACTGGTTACATATAACGTATTACACAATGGCAACAGATTCAAGAACAATACTATAATGAGAACACAATAGAGAAATGTCTTCAGAACCATGAAATTTAGTTTCAACCTAGAATTTTACACTCTATCAAATAGGAGGGATTTTCAGACAGTCTAGATCTCTAAAAATGTCTATGTGCCCTTTCCCAGGAAAATGTGCTCCAGTAAAACTGGAGTATAATAAAACAGAAAGAAACACAGAATCCAGGACGCAGGGGATCCAACACAAGAGAGTAGTTATTTGAGATCTCAGATGATGACTTCAAAGTGATACCCTACGAAAACGGGCACAAAGCAGGCCTACGGAAAAACCAGTCTACGTTGGAGTAGGATGACAAAAGGCTGAGGGAAATTGTCTTCAAGAGAAAAATGGAACAGATGTGTTTTAGTAGATAGAAAATATTTTTGATAGGCATGTGACAAATGTTACAACATTTGGGGAGAAAAAATAGTTGTTAGAAAACAGGCAAATGAATATTGTCAGGAAATTAATTCCACAAGAAATAGAAGGATGTGAAAGCAGGGAGACCAGCCGCGGCTACTTATTGCATTTGGCTGTGTGAGCTACTGTTGGTGAGGAAAAGGGGATTATCCTGGAGAAGTGCAAAAGTACTCAGATTTCAAGAATATTTAAGACAAACAATGAAGGGTGTACAGAAGAGGCACACTCAGAAAACTGTATGACTCAGCAGTGAATAATAATATTTCATAGTCATAATAATGTAAATACTGACTACTGAGTTAATTAAAAATGTGATACATGTCAATGAAACGGAGGGAAGGAAACAGGGTCACCATGGAGTGAGGAAGCTCAGCTTCTACCTGCTATGACAGGAAGTCAACGGATAGTGCTAAAAATTGACTTAGCTGTTATCATTGTTACTTTGATTAAAAAAGATTATAATCTCCAGGTGGAAACATTTTTTAAAGTAAGATTAAAGAATGAAGGCAAAAATATTTAAGGCAGAGCTTTATACCACAATCAAGTTATCAAAATTTAGCTTAGATGTCAGAAACCCTTAAAAAGTGGGCACTACTAAGCCAAAGACTTTCCTATATAAATTTGATACTTAGAAAAATAAGAAGAGATTTAGAAAATCCACAAAAAGAGGTCCATGCTGACAGTACTGGGTCCCCATTATATTTTTAAGGAATCGTGACAGACATACTTTTAATTCAAACTATTAACGTCTTAACTTTGCAACTGTTTACTTACATGGTTTAAATGGTTGCTCTTCCTCTTTTCTCGCACTAAGAATAAAAAAAATTAACTGATCAATTCTGATATAAATATCACAGAATAAAAGTAGTTGCTAATTATCTGATGAATTACTAATATACAAAATGAGATAAAATTCCTTTGTATTTTTTTTAAAATAATTTCCAACAAAATTTATAATTTAAATCATCTGGCAAGATGAATCTCAAAGTAAAATCTAAAAACTTTGTTTTATTTTCTGATCTAACAGATATTCTATTACACACAAATGAAAGACTCTCCATGTACAAGAGAAAAGGGCAAAACAAATTAGGCCGGATGAGAAATTTAGCTAATAAAAAAGTTTACCTGTTGCATATTTAAACCACTACCCAGTAGTATTTCCTAATTCTACATTTACACACAGCCTACTTTAATTACCCATATCTAACAGCTGACAGCTCTAAGAACCAGTTTCTGGACAGGCACCAATTCCTAGATATACCTGAATACCCGAAAGCATCCTGGACTACTTATTGGTAATCTACTAATATGGTACTGAAAAAATGAATGAGTCTTTACATAACTGGAAAGTAACCTATCTTAAATTTAAATTTTAAAATGAGTGTGCTAATCTAATTGAACATAGTAACTACACACGCAAATAATTTTGTTCTAACAAAGGCCAGAAGAGTAAACGATCCAAAAGGGACTTGGACTGCACTTTGTTCCCCATGCTGCCTCCTCCTCTGATGCTGGACAGCATTGTAGGCACACGTTCCTTCCCACTAAAGAGAAAGAGGCATAGGATAGCTTTTATTTTCCTGCTTCCACACATTTAATGTGTGAGAAGCCCGTGGCTCTGGGAAAACTGAGAAATACAGCAATCCCAACAGAAATGATTGGCTCAAGACACAGTACACACAAACCGTGAAAATGCAAGTTAGACACCCCCATTTCTTCATTTCTGAAGGATAGCCAAAAAACAAAAACCCTCCCATTTTTTATTGTGCTGCATTACTTCAAATAGTATTATAAAACCCTTACTTCTTGTACTCTTGCTATTGAGATCAACTGAAAAATTTGGTTGTGTATGGCTTTTTAGCAAACAGACTAGGATTTAATATAACATTAAGGAAAATAAGGAGCGCAGAAAAATCCTATAGGTCTGATTCTCATCCTAAAACACGCAGGACATAGAAACTTTACACTAGTTTCACTTGCTGAGGCTAACCTTCTGGGAAACAACACAGGGCATGTTTACATTTACATTAGGAAGAAAAGGTTCTGAACAGCTTAAAAGTTCTGAGTAGCATAAATTTGGATGTGACAGGTTCATCTGGTTAGATCACTGGTTAAAGGAGGCCAAAATCAGTTTCAATCCCCATATGTTAACAACTGATATTTTTTATTTGTTCACATGAAAACGTAACTGCAGCCTAAAGCCTATCATTCATCTTTCAAATGTGCTCTTTGGAGCAGGGGAAAAGGGCCAAGAAGTATGAAGAAATAGGGATAAATCCAGGACCATTTCTAAATCATGTGACCAACTGTGTTGATAAAGAAGTGGCAAAGTGTGTAAACAGAAAATCTACATGTTCTCACTAAGAGTGACAACTAAAGGAAAGTATATCACATATTAAAATAAGACAAATGAATATATAAAAAGTTGAAAAACTGAAACTAGTGAGTTCTTCTAAATACTTTCTGTAATACATCCTGTTAGACAGAAACAGTTCTCAGTCTTTTCCTTGGAGGAAAAAAAAATATTGTCTTACCATCTGTTTGAGATTTGCTCAGGAAAATTGTGCTTGCCCTTGGATGGTCAGAAGGATTCGATTCCAAAGCTAAATCTGTAGAAGAAGAGAAAAAAGATGGGATAATTTAGGTGAGTGGAAAATTTTTTAAGCAGCTACATATTGACAGGCTCAGTGGCGCATGCCTGTAATCCCAGCACTTTGGGAGGCTGAGGCAGGAGGACATAGTTTGAGCCCAGGAATTTTGGGCTGCAGTGAGCTATGACTGAGCCACTGAAATCCAGCCTACGTGACAGAGCAAGACACCGTCTCAATTAAAAAAGAAAAAAGGCTACCCATAATTTTAATCACTTAACAGTCTGAAGAGAAATTTTTTTGTAATAAATATGAAGGAAATATTAATATAAAGGCAACAATATAAAAATTCCACTGGGGAATGCAAAATCATTAAATCTCTCCATACATGCAGACTAAAACCAGGCTATGTCTGTGACTTCTTTTTGTAACTCGAACCTAAATAATCTGATGCAACTTCCAGATGAATCACATACATGCCCTCCCCTCCTTCTACTTATCAAACAGAAACACAATCACCCTCTTCTACGCTGACATTACTAGCACATTTCAGGAACAGGCTCAGGCAGCAAGTGATGCTGTGGCCAATTACCGTCAGACATCAGCTCGATAAACCAAATATGCTAAAACAAAGAGGGTTGTTTTTGGCAAGCGTTCTTTAGACAATCAAATGGCTAATTCCAACTCCAACAAGTGAACTCATTTAGTTAGCTCTGGTTTATCTGGGGGCCATTCATCATGGCAGATTTAAGAGGACTGCATAAAAAGTTCAATGTTCTAATCTATAAGAACATTTCCATGGTAGAAAGTGAATTTTAACTTTTGTCCTCAATTTCCAAAGCTAAACTCTCACGTCTTTCAACAGCATGATTAATTTGGGGCTTCATCAAAATGATCTTTTGAAGCAGGTCATAAGGCTGCTTCGAAAAACTTTTGGTCCTACCTATGTCAAGGCAGGTCTGTCTACAGTCTACCTTGCACCCAAGTGGGATAATCTCCTATTCACGCAAGACTACGAAACAGATTCTTGAATTTTCATAAAACAAACTTTGCCATCATCTGGGATAATAAAAGTTGTCATGAGGGGAAAAAAATAAAAACCTATGACACTCTTCAGCCATGTCCATCTCAACCTACTTATATTAACCAATTTTGTAAGAAACTGGGCCAAGATCCAGACAGGTAATGGTTAAGGCAATATTTGCCAAACCTCTTATTAATAATTGTTATTTTCGAAAGGGGTTTAGTGGTCAAATCACAATACATTATACCTCTGGCCCTTAGAGAATCAATATTAAAAAACTTAACCAGTCTAGCAGTGAATAGTGTCTAACTCAGCATTTGACAAATTTATCTACCTAGAAACCTTTGGTTCCCTCCAAGTAATATGGTTTAAATCTTGCATGAACACACACAATTTGGGACTTCCTGGTTTAACAGGAATTTGAATCATCCATTTTAATGGTACTGCCAAATCAACAGAAACTTACACAGCTAAACCAATTGGTTTGTTCTTCAAAGAAATTCCTCCACTGACATGAAGTTTATTAAACTGCTTTTGGAGAAAACTATTCTCATGTAAAAGACTCAAACAAAAATTATTTTAAAGGATTTTTCCCACCCACATCTTTAAAAAGATGAGACAATGGTTACTATTTAGAAAAATAAAATTATTTGTACAAAGTGACAAGCAGAGATTTTCAGAGCTGTCTCTAACCTAAAGCTTCTGAAAGAAGTCATGACTACTTCCTACCAAAAAGAAAGCAAATATACTACCATCAAATCTAAAAAATGAGAAGAAATGTTTACAGAAGCCATATTAGGTACCTATGTCATAATAAAGTTTAATTAAGAATTTTCAATGGAAGTCCAGGAAAATTAAGTACCAGAATCAAAGAGGAGCAGGTTTATAGATACACACAACCGCAAAACCAATGTATTTAACTATGTACTTAAATACAAAGATCAAGAAAGGCTATGATAAAAGAAATGACACCATACAGGGAAAAAAGAAAAATTAGCCCAAGTGACAAGCTGGCACTCTCCCTACCCTAAGGTTTTAGGGTGGGCACATGACCACAGGCCAATCATTCACAGCTCTTTTGGGACTTCCAGGAACCAGAAGAGAAAGGCAGAGCTGTACTCTAGGGTGCTAGCTGGTCAGGAGCTGCCAGTGGCCCCACAAACATGCCCACACAGAGATTTAGAGATATGTCCACAAAATAAAAATATATCACCAGTATCTTATACGTGAATGCCTTCAAAATTTTTTTTTAAAAAACCCTCAACAATGTTTGAAACTAGGAGAAATATTTTTGATCTCATGACTAGGGATTATGATTAAAATTGTATTTTAAGACCCACTAGTTTCATATCATCAATTTAAATTGCAACTTAATGTGACAGCATGACAGGATGATGGAGGCAAAGTATGACTTAAAAAAAAATTAAACTCAAATCTTAACGTAAACATCCCTCAGAGGAAGAAATCTGTAAGACACCGTGACACTGAATACTGCTTTTCCTCTAAGATTTTATTAGTTGTAAGATCCATTTCAGTTGCACAGATGTTAAAAATGTAAAAATATATGCAACTCAGAATAAATGAAATGTTTTAATAAAAATCAAAAGTGTTGAAATTATGCAATTGTAAACTGTCAAGAAATGATTTTCCTTGTCAAAATATTAAAAGGAGAGGGCAGTGACAGAAGCTAACTAACAGAAGCAGCATATTTCAGAGAAAGAGATTGATTTCAACATATTGATTTCAATATATCCCAATTAAATAGAAGATGTCGGCAGTTTCTGGGCCAACTGCTAGGCATCCGTTTATTTAAAGGCTTCCTGAATTTACTGACCTGCTCTCTCATCCCTATACTGCACACTGCATTAGTTTTATGTCCCATAACACAAACATTTTAAGCCTCTCAATTCCAACGCAAAGTCTGATGATTTTGTCTAAGTCCACACTTTCTTACCTGGTGGCCTTGAACTGGCTGGCCTCTCTGGAGGGCACACAGCCGCAGCAGTGCCCACGCGTGCCTTGTTCCTGCTTTCCTAGCCTCTGACTATTACCTCTGGCTTCCAAACCACTTCTCTACCTGCCTCTATGTCAGTTCTCAGTCTTGCCGTAACTGTTTTATCCTCAATCTAGGCTTTAGTGACTGTGATTGAGCTGTGACATTTCATATACGGTAGTATGCATTTCTCCCATTATATATTTCTTAATAGCACTTAACTCCATTTCTTAGACTTTTAAGAACATTTCTGGGTTATAAGTACATCCCCATTTATTATCCAATGTTACTGTTTTAACCCTAAAGCTTAATTACTTTAATACACTGAAAAAAGATGAGGGAAAAAGGTAGTATCCAAACAAGCCCATATTAAGTCGGTCGGGAAATTCTTTTCCTATATACCATATATCTGGAATTTATATTCTTGATCTACCAAGTCTTATTTTTTTTAAAACCGTAGAAACTCAGAGCCTGTCTTCTCATATGTAAAACAGGTATAATTCCTACACTACCTAACTCAAAACGTTGTGAGGATCAAATGAAATACAAGAGCAATCTATGTACTACATAATGCACAATAAATTACAAAACTTTCACTAACTCAAAAGCAAAAAGTAAACATTAGCATTCACTGGTAAACCCGTACCAACATAATATCTTGGGCAAATATGCACTTTGGCTACCCACTGAAGTTAAGAGGAAAACTGTCACGCAAGATCAGAAATTCTTCCTTATGCTTTTTTTTTTTTTTTTAAATAAATACTATTTCCTCTGTCTTTCATGTAGATTCCTGTATGTTCTCCACCTTGCTTTTTTCATGTAACATATCCTGGAGATCACTCCACAGCAGTAAAGAGAGATCTCATTCTTTTTTACAGCCCCATAGTTCTTTGTGTGGATGTACCAGTTTATTTTACCAGTCCCTTACTAGACATTTATTTTCAATATTTTGCTACTGAAATAATGCAGACCAGGTGCAGTGGCTCATGCCCGTAATCCCAGCACTTTGGGAGGTCAAAGTGGGAGGATCACTTGAGGCCGAGAGTTTGAGACTAGCCTGGACAACACAGCAAGACACCATTTCTACAAAAAGTTTTAAAAAAATTAGCCAGGAGTGCTTGCCTGTAGTCCTAGCAACTTGGGAGGCTGAGGTGAGAGGATCACTTGAGCCCAGGCATTGGAGGCTGCAGTGAGCTATGACTAAGCCACTACACCCTAGCCAGGGTGACAGAGCAAGACCCTTTCTCAAAAAAAAGGGAGGGGGGGAAGAAAAGAATGCAACAAAAGCTTTGTGCATACTTTTTTTCATATTTGTGGGGTATACCTACAGGATAAATCCCTCAAAGTAGGATTTCTGGATTGAATGTATTTGCAATGTTATAAGTCTGCCAAATTCCCCTTCATGGAGTTGACTATTTTGCATTTCCACCAGCAATATATGAATGTAGCTTTCTTCACAGCCACACCAAAGAATGTATTGTCAAGTTTTTGGATTTTCTCCCAATAGGAGGGAAAGTGCAGTACAGTTTCATTTGCCTTTCTCTTATGTGTGAAGATATGTTTAAGGATCATCTGCTTTTCTTTTTCTGTGACTTGTCTATTCATAACTTTATCTACTTTTAGATTCACTTAATTTCTTCAAGTCAGCCTATTTTAGGTCCTTATTATTTTTCGGTTCGCTGTTGGCTCTCACCTGAACTATTCCACCAGCCCCCTAGCTGGTCGCCCTGCTTCCACTCTTATTTGCATTGCAGTGTGTTCTCACACAGCAACTAGTCTGACCTTTTTCTTAAAGAATTAACGTTATTCCTAGGCTATAATCTTCCAATGGTTTCCCATCACAACTTAAGTCTATATTCTTTGTCAAGGCCCACTAGGCACACAAGGCCTTATCCCACCATATCCTCCTGGCATCCCTTTCACTCTGCTGCAGCCACCCTTCTGTCTTTTGAGGCTCTCCCGAGGCTCTCCCAAGGAGTTATCCCTCTGCATGGAAGCCTCTGTGCCTTCCCCCCAACATCACATGGCTACCCCTCACTTTTAGAACAGCTCACAAGTTACATAAGGAGAGCAGTCATCTTACACACATGCCCCTGTAAAACTGCCCTCCTCTCCAATCCATTACCCTATTCTACTCTCTTCCCAGCATCTCACTACCTGCCGTTCTTGATTATTCATGTATTACCTACCCCAGCTCTCTCTAGAATGTAAGGATTGGAGTTGGGTTGGGGGCCTTGTCTTGTATACCACTGTTTGCCCTGCATCTGGAACACTGCGTGGCCACCCAAAGGTGCTCAACAAACATCTATTTAATATACCCCAAACTAGTTAAGTTTCTCCCAGTTTTCTCACATCTCCTAAGATTTCTTCTAATGCTGTTTCTTGATTTGTCATCTAAGATCAGCATCAGACCTCTTAAAGTCGTAGTTATTCAGAATTGAAGACACAAGATAGGCTACCAAGAACCACAAAAATCAAAAGGAGGAATTCTAACGTCCAGTGAAAAGTCAATGGTAACTTTAATTTAGCATTAGAACATTTAACACTAAAATACCTTAACTACAAAATGACTCGTCCCATGAATTTAATTACATAAGATAAAATATACTATCTGAGTTCTGTAGAGAGGTACAACACATCAAAATGTTTTTACATGTCCCCCGAATCAAGCATAAAGGGACAGTGTATGATTTTACTATAAAAGATGTCCGATCGTAAGGGTAGGTAAATAAATGATGCTCTAACCATTCGATGGTACACTAAGCAGTTCTTAAAAGGCATGAGATATAGCAGTGTGCACTGGTATGAAAAGACATCCTGGAGTGCTCTCTAGGTGTCAAACCACTGTTTCAGGAACTTATGTCATTATGTCACTGCTTTAAGTAAGTTACAAAGCAGCACACATGATCTCCATTTTTGTAAAATGAACAAAATTCATATGCATGCAAAAGGTTCAGGAACAATCAATACCAAAATATTAATAAAAGTTAGCTCTGGCATTCTGAGTCTAAAAAATGACTTTTATTTTCTAAATCTTTTACATTAATACATTGATACTGTTATTTAAAAAGAAAAAAAGGATTTAAAATAGCTACTAGAAAGAGGAAAGATCTGTTGCTCAGAAGTTTTTCCACATGATATGGTGAATTCTTTCCCTGCCCTCACACCCGTCACGGGAGGAGGAAGAGGAAGGGGTCACTTGAGAGAACACCTTTAGCCAGCAAATTAGCAAAGCTCCTAAAGTCAGAATACAAAATGCTGTGTAAAAAGTTGATGGGTACTAATAAAATTGAGTAAGATCTTAGTATCCCATTTTTTGTTACTGAGACTACCATCAGTTGTATTAGATACACTGTTCGATACAGGCAAGGTGATAGAAAATACTTTTTAGTCTACCTGAAATCTTTACTAGGGTCTTAGGAACATCTCTTTGAAATGGCTTGAAAAAATCATTTCCTTCTGAAATGTTTCAGAGAAGAATAAAGCAGAGCATCATTTATGTTTGATTTTGTCTAAGTAACCAAAATAATTCAATTCTTCATTGTAGAAAAGCTAAAATGTTTTACACCCAAGCAGGAATTTCTCAGTTTCCAGGGAAACTGATATAAAATTGTCTGAAACAGAGATATTAAAAGCAAACTTTCAATGTGTCTATACTTTATATTTGGTGTTCTAAGTTTCTATGGAAACTTCAGGATAATAGGCAAATGCTAAAATTGAGGTTTCTCATTACTGAATGCCACAAAATTAAATTTTAAGAGATAAACTGAAATGAAAATTTAACTGTCATGCTAACAAAACATGAAATGGTAAATTCTGTGCTCAGAAACTATTTTTTCAACTTTTCTAATTAACATTCACTCCTTACCATTGTCTTATGCTTAATGTCTGGTATCTCGCTTGCCCTCTTATCAGTTTCTACTAATATTCCTCTGCCCAGGGCATTCCTGGCTTATATTCACAGTTGCCAGAACAAACTCTTTAAAATTTATTAATCCATTTATTTGACTGGTAAGTTTAGACCATTTTTTTACTGGTACTTTTATTCTTATCCACTGAAATGCATGTATAGACATAAGATGGGAGCCCGAAAAGGTGGCCTTGGCCTGTAGTCCCAGCTACTCAGGAAGCTTGATCTCAGGCCACGAGTTCGAGGCCAGCCTGGGCAACAGGGACAACAGTGTGACACCTGACCCTCCCCGTCCTTAAAAAAAAAAAGATGGAGAGGCAAATGTTGCCTCTGAGTTGTGTAAAATAACTTTGAATGGAGCTAATAAAAATGGGAATTAGTTCTAAGAGATAGATCTACTTTATGGGTAAAATATGAGATGCATTTCTCAGTTTTTAAAGTTTTTTAACAACTGAAATAGGCATATCTACCACCACCATGTCAGTTAAGAGGATTTAGAGCCTTAGTTCCGTTCAGTAGCTATCTTACATAGTCGTTTCTGATCTCTAAGTCTTCGTTTCTTCATCAGCAATATAGAGAGAATATACACAGGCCTTATTTGAACTTAAAAGGGCCAATTGAGATGTACATGAAAATGTGTTGCAAATCTTAAAGAATGATGTAAAGAACCTATTTTGGGCTCTCGTCCAACACCACCCATCAACTGGTTTGTAAAATCATTCAGAGGCTTACCTTACACCACCAAGTGAAGCAGAAGTTTTCACAAGTACTTACATGCTTTGTGTATAAAGGTATGATCAATTAATTCACGTATTTGTTCATTCTTTTACAATTTCTGAACATTCTGAAAAGTGAGTACGGTACTTCCCAGTTACAAAGGCACATCCATCATGAGGCTTAATTATTCTAACTTTTAAATAAATTAAGAGCCCAACCAAAGTTTAAATAGAAGAGCTGTAAGACATTTCCTCTACAGTAACGAAACCACTGGCATTTAAATGAAAACAATGAGACAAATGCACTTAAACATCTTCATGATACAATGTTTTCTACTTCGAAGGACTTAGTTTTAATTCAAGAACCACCTTGCTACCTTGAATTATTTTTAGCTAGATTCATCCCTTTCCAAAATTCTAGAGGTTAAAAAAAAAATCAGATTTCCTCTTCTCCTCTTTCCCATTCCTCCTCCCCGCCCCCGCAGTGGTTTAGAGTCTAAAGAACTTTTACCTCACACTCTTATCTTTAAACAGGATTCTAAGGTGGGGGGCGAGAGGGGCGGGAACCATAGAAACTAACGGTCTTGGGCAGGCAGGGTCTGGCATTTTAACTCCCTTAAACTATGCTTCATCTCTTTTGAACTATTAACCATGAACTACCCCTACGTCTCCTTTAAAGGAGGCAGATGAAGTCTGTTAAGTCACCGGAGTAGGGCTGAAAATACATCTGTGTCAAAGTAGGAATTTTAAAGTAATCAGAACTCTGCGAGTAAACTACTTTGGGCTGAAAAAAAAAAAAATTCTGCAGCCCTGGCATTAACATTTCACAACTTTCACAAATATTTTACGCAACTCTTCCCAGTTTCTTTTTGTGTTCAAATTATAGTTGGAAGGAATAAAGCAGCTTCCACCAAGGTGAGGTAAAACAGCCTATTAAGAATACCATATAAACTCTCCTATGGCAACTTCTATTTTGAATTTAAATAAGAAATCTGCAAACATTTGGATCTGAATTGCCCAAGTATCAGATATCTTAGCGAGTGGGAGGAAGGAAACAACCAGGCCCCTACCTGGCTCCTTCATTTAGGTACCATCTGGATGGGTGAGGACAGAAAACGGGATGGGGACTCCGAAGTTGGGGTGTTTGAGTTTTCATTGACAAAGGGGAGAGAATATATCAAAAAAGTCTTTATCAAGTCCCAGGAGACGATGAATAGAGCTACAAACAAGAAAGGCCGTGGACCGGAGGGTCCCACGCCAGTTTGGGGGAACGGGGAGGAGGGGCAAGAACTGGGCGTTCGGGTAGGGAGGAGGGAAAGAAACTGGCCGGACGCGGCGGGGAAAGAATAAAGGGTGGGGACTCGAGGCAGAGCCAGCCTTGGTCCCAGTGCCCAGCCCCGGGAAAGCCGGCTCCCGGCAGGAAGGAGCCGGAGGCAGCGGATGCTCCCGGGGGAGCCTGGGGGCGGTGGAGGCGTCCGCCGCCTCCTTACCTTCAGGCATCTCCCGGTCGCTGATGTGCTGCAGGTGGTGACCCTCGCCGGCCCCGAAATCCAACTCCACAGGCTCCACGGCAGCGGGCGCCGGTACTACCGCCACCGTGTCCCCGGCCACCGCCTCGTAGATCTCAGACTCGTAGTCCGGCTCCGCCGGCCGGGGGTGCCGGCCCAGCTTGGGGCTGGCATTGGGGGACACGCAACAGCTCAGCGTGGTCCCCATGGGGCGCCTCCGCTGTTCTGCGCCGCTGCCTGTCTGCGCCTTCGCTCGCCCCCGACTCCGCCGCGCCGAACAGCCGCCCCCTCCCCCAACAATGGCGCGGCCGGCACGGGCAGCCCCGGGCTACGCCGGGCTATGCCGGGGCTGCACCGCGCCAGCAGACGCGGCCTCGCCCGCTGCTCGCCCGCCCGCCCCGCCGCCCTGCCCCGGGCAGGGCTCCGGCCTCGGCCGCACCCCCGCTGCCGCGCCGCCGCCGCCTCCCGCGAGTTGACTTGTGTGCGAGGGCGGCGACCAGCCGGGCTTATTTAAAAGGGGTGGAGACCCAACAAGCGCTGAGAGTCACAGCCACTGCCGGGAGAGAGCGTGGTCAGAGCTCCTCCTCCTTCCGCCGCCGCCTCCTAACTGAAGGCTGGTCGCCCAGGCCGGCACTTGCCAACCGGAACGCATCCTGCGGTCACCTGGTTACGAGGAGCCAATCATGCCCAGATTTTCCTCCAGGCGCCCGCCTCAGAGCCCAGGCACGTGACTCACAATGCCCAGCCCCGCCCCGCAGCTGCCCCGCCCTCCCCACGGTGAGCACCGGACTCCCGGTTTTCATTCATCGCAGGCTGCCGGGAGCTTTCCGGTCCTGAGGGAAGCCCAGCGGGCATTAGTTGCTGGAAGTCATTCTCGTCAATGGGCTCTGTAGAAAGCCTCTGTTAGTAAGGTTCGGGTTCCAGTAGCAACTCAGTTTTTCCGAGCCTGTCAGCTTTCATTTGCTCACCGAACTTAGTTATACCCAAATTGTTGACTGTTTCTGTAACTAAATGCTCTTCTGTCTTCCAATGAATTTTAGTTTTTACCTGCAACTTGACCATAGATAGCAACCCCCCGGGCCCTGATCCTACTCTCAATAAAGATTGTGGCTGTGTTTCCTGAGTGAGACTCGAGGACACGTCACCTCTCCACTTCCTTGTCTAAAACGAGGGACCCAACTCGTCTCTCCAGCTCTGAAACGCTCAGGACTCACCAACTCCCTTTTCTCGCCTCCCTTCCGCGGCAGGACTTTTCAGATTTTCCTTCTTTTACTGACAACAATGCATAAAGCACGATTTTCTCGTACAAAATTGAGAACCACACGGTGAGGTACCACAGTCCTGATTCGATGAAGGTGGATAGTTAACATTTGGCAAGCACTGTGTGCCTGATACTGTTCCAACTGTGGTACACTCATTTAACCCTCCAAAACGGTCCCATTTTACATTTTACAGATTTTACAGGAGAAATTGAGACATAGAAGTTAAGTACCTCCCCAAGGTCACATGACCGCTCAGGGTGGGGCTGGGGCTAGGATCTGATATCAGGCAGCCTGGATTACCACAAACCCCTGAGCCTAATTATCAGAAAATGTAGGTAGCAGTCAAGCTTGGGGAAGGGGAATGACATTGTATATTAATATAGTTTTTAAAAGAAGAACAACTTGTTGATGTGGACTTTAAAATGCCTTCCTTCATTTAACATTAAGTCCCTTCTATGTGCCAGGCACTGTATGTATGAAACAGTCCCACCCCTGGGTGAGTTCAAGCACATGAGAAAACAAAGGCTTAGAGAGTTGAGTTGTCAGAAATCATACTGCTGGATAGTGCTTGAATTTGGGATACAAACTCAGACCTATCTGACCCCAAATTAGATGCTGGGGGAAAGAGTTTGAATTTTATCCTGCAAACATGAGAGCCATTGAACCACGTGAAGCTGAATAGTCATTATTGGATGTGTTTGCAGTGAGGTCACTTGCACAATAAGGAGGGATTGAAGGAAGCAACAGGACCAATTAAGAGACATTAAGTTCATCTAGGAGAAGAGTGAGTATTCAAACTAAAGGCAGCTGCAGTGACTGATGGGAAAGGAAAGAATTAGTGGTCATTTGGGAGATAGAGTAGGGAGTGCTTGGTGATTAGATGTGGAAAAAGAGTGAAAGTAGGAAGACAAAAGGGCTGTGAAGGCTCTGGTTTGGGGGACTGGGTAGACAGCAGTGCCTTTCTCCTAGACAGAAAATGCAGGAAGAGGAATAGGTGTGTGGAAGGAGATAGTTTTTTTGACTCTGAGAGGCACATTGAAATATAGCTCTCTGATTGAAAGTTGGATATAAACCTCTGTAGGCTAAGTCTATTTTCTAAGATCCTAACTTACGTTTTCAAAAATAACACATACTAAACCAAACCATTAAGAGTAATTGGGGAAATTTCCTTAAATTTACATGCTAAGAATATCACATTTTAAAGTGATACCTTTCATGGAGTAACTTTGAATCTATGGTTTTAGCAAATGAGGTGTTGTGTAAAATAAAGCTGTTAAATGAAAACAGCAGTTAAAACTATATTGTCATCAGAGCATATAGAAAGTAATTGAAGCCGTGGGTACAGAAGAGATTGCCTTGAGAAGTTGTATATAATAAGGGGGGCTGGGAAGGAAAGAGAGTTGGAAAATAGGGAGATTTAAGTGGCATCAGGTGAAGCCTGCAAAGGGGAGCAGTGGGTACTGGGCAAAGAGACCTGAGTATTAATGAGGAATGGCTGATCAGGAAAGTCTCATCAGAATGGAGATGACATCTGCCTATTATTTCTATAACAGCAGCACCTAGCACAGTGCCTGATCAATGGGCACCCAATACATAATACTCTAAGGAACAGTCATATGTTGCCAAGGGGCAGCAAATGCCATTAGCTCTGGCAACTCACCGATTGGGGATGTGTGTGAGCGAACTGGACGGCAGGCAATGGGGGAAGAAGTGAAGAAGGGGTGAGAAAGTGAAAACGGAAACTGAGGGCTTCTTTTCTCAAATATTTGGCTGAGAAGAGAGATGTGGTAGTATTAATAGTTAAAGGGAAATGTATGGTTAAGGAACCTTTTCTTTTTTCCAAGATGGGGGGGAAAAAGTGAGTATACTGTTATGTGAAAGGGTAACAGCCAATGGAAAAAAAATTTTTTTGAAGTTAGAGAAGAGAGAATTAATGGCATAAGGTCCCCAAGAAGGCAGAAGTAGATGCAGTCCAGAGCAGGGATAGATTAGCTTTGGGCAGATACAAAAGCAAGGAGGCAGAAAGGACCTGTGTGACTACGGAGACATTTCTGGTAGATGAGAGGTTTAGGGAGAGCTCTCTTTTTTTTTTTTTTGAGACAGAGTCTCACTCTTTTTGCCTGGGCTAGAGTGCCGTGGCATCATCCTAGCTCACAGCAACCTCAAACTC